CTGCAAATATCATCTTTCCGCATTTTGTACAGCTGGACATTTCAAGCTTGTACATATACAGATATATATCTATATATCTATAAAAAAAATAGGCACAGCATTTGTTCTCACCTCCGGTTTTAACACATTCATAATGCTTGACTGGGGAGCTTTGAAGCAGCTGCAAAGCACATTCATGAATTCTGGATCATGCCAAGTGTCGGCTTCCATGCTGTGCTCATGCTTGCATGTCACTGTGACTTATCGGTGGAATGATGTGTTCTGTCTGATAGGCAAAAAAAGTCCAAAGTGAAAGTTTCTTACAACGTTAGAGACATAAGGCTGTAATTATATTTACCACTCCTTCTTTAGATCACATTAAGTCATTATGAATGTGTTACTGATCAAATCTAAATCAATGCAGTTGCCTTTATCTATGTTATATTCATCCAACTCCAGCAGGTAACAGCGGCAAACCCTCAAAACTCCCCAATATAGATAAACATGAAAAGAGATGAAAAAATATATTAGCAGAACCTAAAACCCACAAGTTTGAGAATGATGCAAATACTGAGCACCCTGCAATAACACCATGAAACCAATGTCTTGACTGTGTGTCGTTTTAAATTTCTTTTTTTTTTATCCAATCTTGTATGTGGCTGCACAAGGATCGAAAGGCATAGAAAGCAAAGGACGCCGGACCCAAAGATTTTAAAGGCTCAGACTATCACGTTTCTCCTCGAATGAAATCAGTTTATGAGAGCCAGAGCAGAGTCAGCAAGGACAGCAGAAGAGGTACCAGGCTGTAAGTCACAGACAGGCAACCAAGAGTGGCTGAAGTATTGACCAAGAATAGAGATAATCCAAATCCACAATAGTTTTTTTTTTTTTTGGAGTGATGGTCAATCAATTACGACATGAAGATCAAAAAGGAAAAAGAGCAAATGTAATCAAAGCACACAGATAAAAAAAAAATTGTGTGTATGATAATGTCATGGTCCATAGGTGCCCGAGAAGATCACACATAAAGAGAGGAGGCAGACATGGAAAAGGGAAACAGGAGAGAGAGAGGGAAAAGAGGGAGAGATAGAAAAATAGGTCAGAAATACAGAAACCCAAGTCGGAGAAGTCATTAAGAGACTAAATCCGGAATTAACAAAAGGAACTCCAAGTTAGAGGACCAAAAATAAAAGCAAGCCAAATTATGTTAGTGCGGGAAATGACCGATGTTTCATGGCCGGCATGGGAGGAAGGTCACACAGAGGAAGGTAATGGAGAATGATGACATTTTAAACACACTGCACTTTTTTTCTGCTTTGAGGGTCAGGTTAAACACGGGGACTTTAGCCTAAGAAAGATGCCAACCTGAACGGAAGAACACACACATAATAGTCTGGCTTTCTCTAGTTAATAATGGCCAGTGGTGCAATGTCAGGTAAATGCGGTCTATAGTTATTTATAACTGCTTCCTTCCTTCTCCATTTTTCACCCTTGAGGTAACTGATGGAGTGAAGTCAAATTCGTGGAGTGACTTCTAGATTTTGTTACGTCTTTGGAGATTTAAGTCAAAGACAGATAAATGTATCACCAGCTAAGTAAATCATAAATTCATATATTTAAGGTAATATTTAGGGACATGGATAAGAAATGTATTGATTGTTCTTATATAGAAACAAAATTATTATAGTGTCCAACTATTGGCACTGATGTTCCACACATTTTGATCATTGTACCGGAGTGACCAAAATGTTGTCTATATCTCATACATTACCAAAGAGCTGTTTGGTATCATTTTACACACATGAATAAAAGAAACAGCAGGGATATATTCACAGCAAAGCCACTTCTTTGGTAACAATTGCACCACTGGTCATGGTTGGGGAGAAAGGCTCATGCAAAAACCACACGTCCAACACAGAAGCAGGTTATGGCAACATAAATGTGAATGACTGCACTGCGAAAGTTGAAAATGATTTCTCGTATTTTTTTGTGGTTTTACTATGATTTCAACCTCAGCTGAGGAGCTTTGGATGAACCGCCTGTTTGTGTCTGCCAGATTTGCATCCGCATGGGAGCATTTAGAAAATTTGTGTTCAGTTCATCATTCCTTGCTCACGGGTGGTGTTCTTTTTCATGGTCTTAATCTGGGAAATTAGGGAAGTCTGATCACAAAAAAGCGTGATAGAGAGAAATTGCATCTTATTACTGAGAAAGCTTCATGCTGAATGTTTTGTTGGTAATCCTTCATGCCAAAGTGCATTCAAAATCGAGACTTGGTACAAATTATTGGGGAGAGCATATATTTCTGTTTTCCATTGCGTTCAACGCATGGATTTCAAATGCAAAACAGAAATTACATCTGAACAGAACGACACTAAACTGTGTTTCAGTATTTCAAGTGAACCCTGTTTTTATTTAAAAAAACACACAGCTGTTTTGAATTTTTCTAAAATCACACTGAGTGGAAGAACAGCATTATAAAATGCAGATGCTGAAGCAAAAAATAAACCTAAATGATTTCCACAGTGCTTGATGTGAAAATAAAGCAGGTTAAAATACCTCAAAAGAAAAAAACAAATAATATTTAATTGAAGGTAATTACGGGAATTAAAGGGTGGGGTTGTAACTTGGATGAAGCCAGAGTGAACTTCTGCTCTTGTGGAATTATAAGTGATCCGAACCTCACACGGCATAAGGCTACTGCCCAGAAGTGTCCCGAAAAAGAAAATAGGTACTTTATTAATGTGCCATGCACTGGCAGCGATTGTCTTTTAGGGATTCGGTATAAAGCAGAAAATATTATTTAGGCACCATGCAGAGACTGTAAGGGCTGCATCCCTTTCTAACTAGGCCATACACTTTATATTCAGGTCACTCATGGATCCTGAAAACTGTGGGAGCGACTAAACCTGGCAGGAGAAAGTAAAAACAGGAGCCGACAGAGAAAACGCTAACCGAGGATGAGGGTGATGTTCAATTTGATATTGAAAAGGAAAAGAATATAAAACAAGAGATGAAACACAGTAGATAATAAAGGTTGGCTTGAAATACAAATATAAAGACAATAAAAAAAACCCCCACCAAGATCCAAGCTCAGTATTTGGCAATTGTCCCTCTTATCTTTGTGCTGAATCAAACATTGTCCTCAGTGTTTATCGGTTGCAAGCTAGTCTGGGACTGCTATATTTCTATATTTTCGTGTACACTTCAGTGAAATGAGAAAAAAAATCCAATTTATAAGAAATTCCAAGTTCTTGCCGGATTATTTCACAGCACAGCTCAACATTTTTGCCTGGATTTTGGTTATTTTTGCACTTTCGTTTGTTTAACCAAACAAATTCAAGGACATCATTCAGTGAATACGGTTTCCTGGGAAACACTTGCACCTTGATATTGAAAGATTTTTTTTTTTTAATCAAGGAATTACTTCAATACTTTTGTCAGTATTTTTTCTGGGAAAAGGGTCACTGAAGCCTGTGAGTCATCTTCTTGATCAAATAACATAGCCTCAAAGAATTCTGCTTTTACTTTCTCTGTGTCTTCTGAGTCAATATGCATCAACTTGGCTGCTTTGGAGCTGACTTTTTTTGTTTGGTGTCTTTTTGTTGTATCCCATCAGACTTTAGAAATCATTCACCTGCATCTGTCCTTTTGTCATCATCAGTAAACGTCAGCGGCTCAAAGCCACTGAGCTGTGACATTTTACCACTGATATATTGATTACACGTTTTTTTTAGTCAGTAAGGCAAGATGTAATAAAACAACTCTGCAATAATCAATAACGATTATGTTCGCCACATTTATCTGTCAACTCAAAAGATAGAAACATGTTTTCTTGTTCGATTAATGTGTAATTTTAACTCTTCCTTGATGTGCGCTCAGCCGTTGTTAAGATGGCAAGTGACTAGTTTAGTGAGGACGGAAATGGCAGGCAGTAAAGTGTTGAAAATGAAGATGAAAATGGGGGATACACACGGTTACATATAGGAAGAGCAAAATAAAGCTGGATGTGAAACACGTTTGATCTGTAGTTCAGGTTTTGGGGGATGGGGAGGCAGTCCGAGGTTAAAAGTGCACTTTGTACACAAAACAGCAGAGCAAAGGCCAACCGTGACCATCTTTGCAAAGTAGTTGCATACAAATAAAACATTTTAGGTCTGGCATTATGCCACAGATCTTCAAATGAATTAAACAAATTGTTAGATTATTACTTATCCTGGCCTATGAAAATGAGTGAAGTGAACACAATGCTTTAAATTGTAAATATGACAAAAGAAAGACAGTCGAATAACAAATTCAGACATCTCAATTCTATGATGCAGCTTAAGTATTTTTACTCACAAAACATGACTTTGAACAACTACTGAGGGCCAAATACCAAACTCAATCTCATGTCTTGTCATTTATTTTGGATGCTTAATCTTCTAAAAACACATTAATGTTCAATTCAAGAACAGTCCTGTTTGGTAAACGAGAGCAAAGTAATGTTAAACTGTCTGTGAACAATAGCACGCTGTGCTCAAAGGCCTCATTTAATCCTTTCAAAGCAGAGTGGTAAAGAACCACTAATATTTAATTTAGGTTCTTTTAACCACAGTCCATTGTCTTACCTATACAGCGGGCAATTTTCTAAACTTAATTACAAGTTAAACTTGCTATGAAATATCTCATTTTCATGTTGAAAATGATTTGTTTGTCATATCACACCTTACACGCATGTAAGGATTTGTGCTCATTTCATATTATTTGAGGATGTAATGTCTCTTGTCATATCAAACTTACTTTCAAGGCCATATATTAATAAGAAACCCAGCAACAGATAGCCAGATAGTCCTTGAACACCTCAGTGTGGAATAGATGATGAGTTTTTCCCTTATTTTACTTTTAAAAATGTTAGGTATGCAACACATTGAGCTGGTAGTTTGTATCAGAACCTAAATGTAAAGTCAAGGATTGAAATGACGTTGGCTCTGTGGTCACGGTGGAGGCCTGTGCTCACTGCGGTTTGTGTGTGTGGATGCTCAGGGTGAGTGGATGGGAATAGTACCTGGGACGGTAGTGGGCTCCACGGCTGTTCTGAAGGAGAGAATGCCAGGCTCGGATTTGCCCTGCTGATTTTCTGCCACCACCAGGACCTCGTACTCCGTGTTCCAGTCCAGGCCATTTAGCAGCGCGTATTCACTGCTGTAGGGGAGGCGAATCTCTGGTTTCCAGTCAGATACATGCTTCTGAATAGAAAAAAAACATGCAGACATGTGAGCCATCTGTACAGGAGGAATATTAGGAAAATGGTAACCTTTAAAGCAGAAAAAAACAATCCAAAAGTACATTGAAAATTTAAATTTAACAGTGATATACACGATTACTATAAAGAAATAGATAAAATCAAATCAAATGGGTGTAGCTAAGCAATATTATAGTCGTTGCTCCAACAGGAAAGAGCTCACCCTCCAAAAAATGTAGTTTCTGGCAGTGTCAATTGTGTAATTCTTAAAAAACTTTTTTTTGTTAACAAAACACAATGTCAATTTCTTTTCTGTCAAAAGCCAGCCAGGAATTGTGTGTTACTGGTTGCAGCTTTTACATTTACCATTTCAATCCAAATGAAAAGTTTTCATTTAAAATTGCCATGGCTGACTTTGGGGAACATAATTGTGTTTAATCAGAGGGTCAAAATTGTTGGGAGGAACAAAATGCTGGGGGAAAAGTGAGACTTAATGTGCACAGAGGAGCTGCTGGCAAATAAATTATTTGGACAAAGGTTTAATTCTTCTTTTGATTATTTGCAGTAAAACCTCCAACCACAGATAAAATGCAATAATTTCTTTTTTAAAAATTGCAGAAGAATTAGAGATCTAGGTCCAGTTTACTCACAGCCTTGTATCTGAGCAAGTAATGTTTGATGGGAGAACCTCCATCATCCTGCTTGATCCAGTTGACCTTAAGAGAATTCCCCGCATTAAGGAACTTGACTTCTAGTTTTGGGGCACTGGGTTCCCCTATACAGGACAAATCAAGAAGTTACAATGAATTAGTACACAAATATGTCTGTTTTTTTACTGTATGTTAAAAACAATGTTCAGACTTTCCTCTATTGCTGTGTGCCAGTGACTATGGGAAAGACTCAAATTGATTTCTGAACTGACTATTGGAACTGATCCTGCTCCTTGTGCTGTATTATGATGCTAATCCTCACAGTTGCTGTTATTTGAGGACTCTGCAGATGTGAATGGAGAGAAAATCCTAATGCAATTAGAGGGTTCATTGGTGGTTATGGGAGAAGAAGCATCTTCCATGTTAGTGCTAATTGGGAAAAAATCTTTTTTAAATCTAATGCAAGTAGCTTTCCCTAAGGGTGGTTTTGATTATAGAAATTAAATCACCCTTTGGTTTTTAGATGTTTAAACCAACAGATAAAGTGATGGTGTCATCTAACTTGTTTCAATGGGTGCCAACAAAATATTTTATTCGACCAACAAATATATCAGAGAACTGTGTCTATCACTAAGACAAAAAATGTCTTTTGGGAGTTTTCGTGGAGTTTTTTAGATTTAAATAGATAGAATATATTTAAATAGATTTTTTTTAAAGTTGATAAATCTGTTTCAAGTGAACTTTTTAAATGTACATCCAGACATTTTTCGATTACCAAAGACACATCCCTGTGTAATATCACTTAAGGGACAATTTGTAGTGGTGCTGCCATGCTGACTGGGGCGTTTCTCTCCTTGAGGATCCCAATTATCGGCTCAGTCCTCATGAGTAATGACTTCTGACATGCTGGATAATAAGCCTGTAGGCCTTGATTGGACATGTTAGTCTATTACTGTTTAATAACATTTACATAGTCTTGTGAGGAGAAAGGTCAGTGTATGATGGGCATGTGAGAGATGTCAACCTCTACTCTCACGGCACTGTGATGGCCTAAGAAAAAAACTCTAAAATACAGTCTCATCAATATGTATATATTATTTTCATAACAGTGTAACTCTTCCACAGATTTTGCGCTATGCTGCAAAAAAAAACAATCGTATCATAACAGATCAATAATATTTCAACAGAAAATGATAGACTTTGCAGTGAAACTGGCCAAGAGGGAGACAGGAAGATAATTTATTCAGGCAATATTCTAAAAGAATATTTCTCCTAGACGTTAGTGGTTAGTCACTTGAATAAATACATATGAGGGTAAACATTCTTCAAATCGATATTCAAACACAGGAACATCTTAGAAATTGCATTCAAACAGACTACAGAGAGCATGACAGACGCTAGAAGTCAATCAAATAGTGTTGGTTAGAAACAACAGCTGCATGTTAGCAGGCAGGCCTCGGTACAACGGACCTTATTACATACAAGCATCATTCCCGGTTAGATGAAAATGTTAATGCTATGACAGAGAGAGGAGCAGTTAGAATGAAACACTCCTGCCGGCTGGAAGACATTTTAAAAGGTTGTACGTTGAGAGCTCACCATCCATCAACTAACATAAACATGCATGTGGGTGGTGAGGTTTTATGCACTGCTTAAGCTAATGCGCCACCCCCTCTTTCTGTTCCAGCACATACAGAGAGACACGCAGTTGGAAAACAAGAGATGTTATCACGATTAAAAACATATATTAGGGCAAGGTTTTTTATTTTGGTTTGGTTGTTAATTGTAAATGTATTTATTTTTTGTCGTACCACTGAAATCATCAGTTCAAAGGAATACAATATTAATATCAAGTGCTGAGTAAAAGCAGTAAATGTATTTTCTTTTTTGTTGTTGTTGTCGGGTGTGTTCATGAGTGAGACATGGAAACAAAGACCCATACACATGCGGGCAAGACCGGCAACTTCACAGAGTTGCAGGAGAACAAAAAGGACGAGGGTGCAAGAGAAAGAAAGAGAAAATAAACTTGCATGTCACGGTAACGCAGTGTGCTGCTGTGAGTTCAATCAGTGTTTCAGAGCTTTGAGCTTTTTTTTTTAAAATTGTGGTGGCAAGTATAAAAAATTTGCATAGTGGATGACCACATGAAATAGCATGTGAGATGCAGATTCCAGTCAGTGGTTATTTGCGAGCATAATATGAGGTTAAGTGTGTAATACAACTGGGAAAACAAAAAAAATGTTCACGGATGAAAGACTGTTAGTGTATTTCAATAAAAACTAAACCTTAAAAAAAATCGAAGTGGAAATCAAACAGAAAATGAGAAGTATATTTGCGATTGGGGTATAACTGTTAGAAAAGCTCCCAAGACACTAATCAACACTATCAATTATCAGCTCATTTATTTCTCTAATTGAATTTTTTTTCCATTTATAGAGTTATGAACTCTAAAGCATGTATATAATTGACTGTTTTAGTATTAGTTCTGCAGAAAGTAGCAATAATAAGCAAGAATTAGTGAACATGGCTAAATTGTCCTCTAAAATGTCAATTTATATCTTCTCATCTAAGGGTTGGGAAGGGTGTCAAACTAATTTTCCCATTTGTGAGGAAGTTTTCTAAACTGAAAATATGTTTAAAGTGGGATTCATTCCAGTTCGACATGTACAACAATATGTTGGTTCTAATTAAATAATCTTAACTATGCAGTTTAACCATTTTTGTGAAGTTCAGCATTTCATTCTGAGAAAATAGTAATGCCAACGGTCTTCAAAAGTTCTTAATTTTGTATGGTCTAACAATTTATAATCTTTTTTTTTTTTTTTAAATCTGTAGGAATTAATCAATGTGCGCAGAAGAAAACAGTTTACTAAGCAAATGATCCAAGTATGACAGAGAGAACGGCTCAGAGATGAATGACGTCACGAAGCATTGCTATACTAATGATGACTTTGTGTTTAGTAGTTAGTTATTAAATGAGGTGAAAAGGGAGAAAGGATAAATGAAAAAAGGGCGTTTTAGCTTCTCATCTATGAACCGAATGCCTTGTGAACAAAGAAAATTTACCTTCTGTTGGCCAGCGAAGACGACATCATCAGCACCATGCAAGAGCCACATGACAGAGTCACATGATGGTCACAGACATGATCGGTTTAAAAGGGAAAATACAGAAGGAGGGGATAGGATGGGGGGGGGGGGGGGTGAGGAGGAGTCGGGGCACAAACAAACAAAACATTTGGAAAATGATGAAAACAGGTCAACATAATAAACAAAACAAATGATAATGTTAGAGACAAAATTGCAAACTAAGGAACCAAAACAAGTCTATATCGAGATATAAAATGGAAATAAATAATAAATATGTTCCTGAGGACATGAAGCAGCAGGAAAATGTTGCATTTGGTGAAACATAACGGAAGAGATGATCTTTAAAACTGCATTTGACTCAGCAGCTATTCTTGCAGTACGTACTTCCTTCTTCTTTTCATATTTCAGTTTTCATTTCTAAATGACCAAAGTTAGACAGATGACACTTTGCAGCTTTGGTTAAATGGACCATGCCAACTAAGTACCACACACAACACATCAGGCAAAACTGAGACACAACATGAGGCAAATTCTGAGAAGTTAAAGTATTTGCTTAAAGTACAGTGGGTTTTTTGAATGAGTTAGGAACAATACAGGGACATACAAAATATTTAGCAACACAATAGATCTGTTATATGTCAGTAAGTCAGTTAAAAGTTGCATTCTACAACAACGAAACTGATTAACAAATCGTGTTGGTTTACACTGTGCACAAATTTACCTGCAATGCCTTTTTAGTTAGGGTCGATCACAGATAATAGGAAATTCACATTCGGGAAGGTTAGACATTTAACTGTGCAGTCAATTCACGAGAAAATGTGCTCTAGGTCAGTGAAGGCCACCTTTTTGTATCTTCTTGTTCAGAACACACAGCACACAATTAAATGATATTTTCACATCACTCTCACATCCTAAAGACTGATTACTCTGTCGTAAGTGTCAGACCATCTGACATTGTGTCTGACCTAAACCGATGCTGTGAATAACTGTGTTTTTGTATTTCCATTCAGGTGGCCATATTTTTCTATATAGACACATAATCCAGTTCAGCATCATGGTGGGGTATCAAATAAGGGTGACAATTTATTGAAAATAGTTTGATGTTCCAGCCATTGTCCCAGACAAAGACATATTTTTGTGCAAGTAACTGCTATAACATCTATATGTTTATATTCTGTGGAATTGGTTTTGGAAATGAGGGTCAATCACTTCAGTACACAAAGAGAACCCTTGACAGGTTTTGCTTACTTTTCAAGGTTTCGAATTGTATACAACTGTCATTAATATTTTCAGGCCATTAGCGCAGGTCTGTGTACTTTTAGCTGTTGCTAAGGGCTCAGTTCAAGCCAAACAACTAAAGATGAGTGCTGCTTGTTCATCCACTTCTGTGATGACATTGCAGGGAAACCCATCTATGACTGAGCACAATCTACTTACATTACAAGCTAAAGTAAGTAGTTAAACACAAATACAGTACAGGTATTTTAATTAGCGATTTCTTGCCTGTCTTCATAAAAATGCTATTTGTGAATTTTGTGGAAGATCTTTACTTAATCTGACAAATGTTAATTTGTGGAGAAAATGAAAATAAAAGACAATTTCTGTATTCTTCTAGACATCATTTTGAAGGCTCAACCTCCTTGGTTTAACATTTGTGAATTGTGTCAATTGTACACAAATGTACACTGAATATTCTGAGAAAACGAGCCATCAGAACAGATTTCGCACACTGCTCTGTGAAACCACATTCCTGTGAAGCAGAACCCAACGTACCAGGAGCTGGTGGGAGAACTTTGAGAAAGAAAGAGGTGTTTTTTTTCTCTCTCTGCAGAATGTGGAGATGATTTTCATTTCCTGCACCTCACTGTTACAGTGGCTGACTTGCTTTGAAAGGCTATGAAATGTCTGTATGATCCAAAATCCTTTTTTGTTTTTTAATAAATGATGACCCACATATATTATTTTTAAATGGAAAGAATTAGTCTCAATTAAAAAAAATAGTTTTCCTTTGATAGATATTTTTGTGGACGAAATAACAGTAGTTAAATTGAATATTTTACAAATATTAAAAATGCAAATAATAACACACTGGACATACACCAATTGTAAAACTCACACTTACACACAGAAACATTCTACAATCTGGTTTTCACATGCCAGCCAGACAATAAAGGAAAAAATATATATTAAAACAGACCATCTACTAGGTGTTAATACTGATCTTGTCACTCAGTGTTTATGCTAAAATAACTACATCAGGATGTTGTTTGTGTTATTAACCTACGTACTTTAAACCCATGGGTTATTGTCCCTGCTATTCTACAAAACAAAAGTCAGTATGCGGCCACTGGTTCAGTCTAAGACATTACAGGACATGTGTGCTCCTCACAATATATTTATAGACTTGGGATTAGAACCTTAATGATCACAAACACTGTATCATTAATGTCACAAGTCCACAGACTGTTGGCTAACTATTATGTCAAGGTAACGTTAGTAAATCTATGAGCAATTCAAGTTAGCGGAGCTAACAAACTGCAAATAGAAGCTGTTCTTGAACTGCTTCAATTTCACATTTTAGGAGGGGTATGAGCCTGTAAATGCACCACACCAGAATTATAATTAACAACTGCTCTAACTCTGTGGTCAAGCGAGTGAGACAGATAGAGGCGAGGAGAGACACACTGCACACTGCTGGACTGGCATACTCACTAATGGCCATAGTGGTGGCAGCAATAGAAGGTGGAATCGATGATGAAACTGAAAGATGGTGAAAACAGCACGTGAGGAGCCCTCAACAGGAGGTAGTCAGAACTGTAGCGTCTTGCTCATATGTAACTTAACAACGTTACAGCATTTCCATTGTTTTTCTACATCGGTTACAATCACACGTCTCCTTTTCTAAGCACTCAGATCCAAAAACAACTTGTGTAAATTGCTGACAGAAGTGTAAAAATCCAATTTATCTATGATGCGTAAATAAGCCGCTTACTTTTAGGAAGAAGTTTTGGCTGCTTTTACTCATTCAGCTTTCCTTGGACTTACACAACAGTGCAATTGTCGAGTTGAATATAATTTACGTTTGAAAAATGGTGAATAAATCAAAATATGGATCCATCAATATCAGCTTATGTTCATGGAGAGATGTGACTTAATTTTATCAATACAGTAGGCAGATGTATAGACTTCCTATCATCTAAGTAAGTAGTTTCATACTAAAAGAGTTGAAGAGAAAAGATTTCTTTTTAAAATGACAAATTCCTTTCACTCTTTGTGTATTTATACAATGACAATTCACTAACTTTAGAAAAAACTGAAAGGGGCCAATTCCCCTGGCCCCAAAATGCTTAATTGTGCGTACCTGGGGCTTTTTATTAACTAATGTGGTTATAGATATTACCTTTGTAATTTAAATGTACAACCTTAAGAATCGTAGAAACCTATGTCTTTAATACCCTAAAAGACTAAAACCTTGATGCATTAAGATGGTCTCCCATCTACACCCAAACCAGAAAAAAAACAATGGCTAAATTCTATAAACTGCACAGCAGTGACTATATAGGCAATAAAGAAAAGTGGCTCGACAGTTTTAAAGTTAAAAAACTTTCAACTAAAATAAAAAATTGATACCTATGAAATGCTTTTGTTTTGTAGATAATCTTGTAAATCAGGTGTACATGTTAATTTTCTCAGTTTGGATAAAGTTTATCAATCGGTTGTCTAACGTTGCTTAAAATGACTGTTTCTGTGTTCTCAAAATGGTTCAATAAGGACAAATATTTTTCCAAATGGCAATGAGCTTACGGCCTCTTCAAATAAAGCCATCGGTCCTCTCTTGACCTGAATTAGCAAAATACAGTATGAAGAGGAAATATTCTTTTTCCACATAATTTGCTGCAGCTGATGGGGCTTTTGTTATTTCCTGTATTCTTAGTCTGTTTAATATTCACTAGCTACAGGCTGCCTTCCAAAAGAACCACATGCTTTGTACAGATGAAGAAAGATAATTAATCATATTAAGGGATGAGCAAAGTAAGAGCTCACTTGTATGAGTTCACATTATTTCCTTTCACAAGTGTTAAATGGAGTTTGAATTGAATAGATCTAACTTCTACAAAATGATAGCAACAAGCAATGAATAAGTAGCTAGATAAGTCAGAGTTAAGGAGCATAAAAAAGTAATTGCTTTGCATGGAGTTTGGGAAATATCATGTGATCAGAATGAAGACAGAATGATGAAGATCAAGGAAAACAGTAATGGTGATGGAGACAAAAGTTTCAGAGCATAAAGCAGAACTCAGGGAGAAAAAAAACTTACTTGTGAAAGAATATTCTGAGATGTCCAGTGGAAAACAGCAGATGGGAAAAAAAACATGATGAGATAACAATAACACAAAGAGAAAAAACAAAGATGATGAAATGAGAAATGTGATCAGTGAACAAAGGTGTGTCCCACGTCATCAACCCCCCCCATCATACTGCTATTATGCCTTATTGGACATTCAGTTCACGGAATTATCCGAGTCTCTATGTTCTGCAGTCGGCAACTTTGACTTTGATGATACTGACACTGTATTATCCTCTAAATTAGAATTTCTTTTTTATAAATGACTTCAAGCTCTCGGTCAAGGTTGGGATTGAAAGATTTCTAAGACACACTGAAGCAGTGTTTGAAAATCTCTCTCTGCTGCTCTGGTGGTATGTGAAATTAAAAATATATGCCTGCCGTAAATATCAATTCCCTATGTGTCAGTCTAAATTGATCTCAATAAGAAAAAAAAAACATCACATAAAGTTTTTAACTAGACTAAATTTCAACAGTTTTCAGACAACCAAAATAATGTGAACTTTTAAAGCCCAAACATCTCGACGCATATTGTTGTTGTCACTCAGGTAAAAATATAGGAAGGAAGCTGAGGATTGCTTTCTCTACAGGGTGAAGTTAGGTGATGAAAAACAGATGGAAGCATGACAGACAGGTTGGTACAAACTGAAACAAAGATTTACACAAGGCCCTGATCTGAGAAACAAGTCTGTAGTTTTCTGCTTGTTCCCTGGTAAAGGTAGCTCATGTGTGTAATATAAAACAAACGTGAATATCTACATAACAGGGTACAACTATATAGCAAGCGGGCACATCAGACCAATGTAGAATATGTTTACAGATTGTCAACCATGGTTAGTTTAAGTTTACCTCAACTACCAACCAAGTTGGATGAGTATCATGATGGCTGACAATATAAGCAACTTTGGTAAAAATGTCCTAAATCTGTCTGTAACTCATGTGACTGCTCTTTTTTTCTGTCTAAAAAGAATACAAATCTTCAAAAAAGCTCAGAGATACTCGGCCTTTCATCTATTACTGCCATCGCCACTACAAAGCCTAAACTATCCTCAGCCAGATTTGACCCATGGCTGCGATTTAAAAAATACATGCCCTCACTGATCTATACATACAGATATATGACATCGTCTCAGTGAAGTGTAAATCAGCTTTTGAGAATGCGCAAGAATCATCCAAGTGGCTTTCAATAAATGACAAGAGCTGAGGGCCACGAAAAACAAGCTCACAGTCTGCCTTATAAAACGTCATTTAAAATACATAGTCTATGCTTTGCGTTGGACATGGACACTTTAAAGCAGTCGGATTATGATGAGGAAGCGGCATTTTGAATTCTGGCCTGCCGTGAAAACAGCGGGGATTTGGCGTTTGGGCGCGAAAACAGAGGGGTGAAAGGGGGTGGGGGGGGGGGAGGCTGGGCTCGGCTAGACACGAGAAGGTGTTTGCGGCGAGCGTCAGGTTGTAAGCGTCGGGTCAGAAAGGGTGCTTGTTCACAACGGGGGATACGAAAAGCGTGGGAGGCACTTACGGACTGGCTCCGTCTTGAAAGTGCTGGGGAGGCTGCTCTCGCCTTTGCCTTTGCCGTTGATGGCAGACAGCCTGACTTCATAAGCAGTCTCTGGTTTCAGGCCAACAATGGTGATCTTCGTCGTGCCTGTTGAATGAAAGTCGGTGTTATTCCATAAATGATGTATTTCAAAAGGGGAATACTCGAGGAGGAAGAGGCCCACTGGTTTTTAAGTGCTAATCTGTATGAGGTGAACAAGCTGCAAACAAATATCCAGCACAGTGATATGTAATTAATCAAGTGTGTCAGACCTCTGGGGATACGACTTATGGTATTTTTTAGGGAGCACTGTACAACAGGTAAACAAGCATACAGTCCAGCAGAATGTCTTTCTTTTACTTGAATATTTCACAATCTTTATTTGGATCAGCTAGCTTGTTTTATCTTGCAAAATTGGGTGTTGTTATCATTGTCTGTTGAATCCAGGAAACAAATAATGATCAGTTTCCAAAAGCCTAGTGAAAACCAGGGATGACATCCCTTAAAAAAACTAAGGGATGACCAGGGATGTCTTATTCAAGTGTCTGTAACCCAAAAACATCCCAGTCGACAGCTGATCACTTTACTAACCCAAACAAACTAAAGTAATTTTATAAACCAAGGAGGAATTTAGAGTATTTTCTCATTTGTTGGTCCTGAGCTGGTCTTATGAATGCATGAATGACTGAAAGAAAAACATAGACTATTCTGTAAATGCTCATATCCATCATATCTATGTTCCTCCAGGTATTTATAGGGATGGAATATCACATGTTGTCGTAGATCATATTTATGAGTATGACAAAACAATATACTTTCATATATGAGCTTTTTTATTACTTTTTTTTACCATGTCTATGTTTATTTTCATTCCCTGCAATTGTTTGAATGAGAGAGTTTCCTACATTGCGTCCAATAATATTCAAAATCCCTCCTCAAATGGTTAAAAACACTCAGAAAACAGTCAATGGATAAATTAAATCAATGATTAACTAGGTTATTTCAGAAATAACCCAATGGTTCAGACCGGACCAGTGTTAGAAGGACTACTGATGCCTGGTCTTTATCAAACTTTGATTTGCTCTGTACACTTGATTATCGCACAAGAAAAAAGAAGATGCTCAGATAATGAAAAGGCAGTACACAGCTTCCAGCAGAGGAGTGTTCTTTTTTTTTTTTATCTGAGTGCGTCATGTTTCATCTAAAAGCTGTTCACCATAGGAAAGAATCTGAATGAGGGGGACTGTCATGGGAGAGATTAAAGCTCAGGGATATAGCACACATAGCACACGCTTAAAATGCAAATAAAGAGTCATCTCATGGATGAGAACATATCAAGGTTGAGATAAGCACCTAAGAAAAAACATTTCCATAAATGGGGCACCATTTTTCAGATTAACGGTCTCTGAGAACCAAGATTTAGTGTTAGAAAAAGAAACTGCAACAGTAATAAAGCCAGAGACCAGACAGATTAAGAGGTGGGTTTTAAGGTCCAACAGAAAATTGCTGTCTCCGCTGACAAGGTTCTTGTTCTGATTAAATTTCTAAGCAGTCAACAGTAATTTGGTTCCCGTTACTCCTATAAAAGGTTGACTTCAAAAATTCAGAAAGTTGAGTTGAAAGTCAACTTAGTGAAGTGTGTTGTAATCCTTAACCCTATAATGCCATATGTATCATATTTGATATATACAGTTTCTAAAATGTTTTACATCTGAGACCTTTTGCATAATTTAAGAGCAAAAACTTAAAAAACTGTCAGAAACAATGTAATAACAGTGGGCAGAAGACTACACAGCATATTATTTTTGATTTATCGCATGGAATCTCGAAAAATGATTTCTGTTTTTTTTCATTTAGTTAAAGAGCCAAATACAGACTTCTGAAAAAACAAAAATAATTGTATCTACATTTTTTCTTGACTCAGGCATTAAAGGGGTAATTCCAAAGTGGATTCTCACTGCAGCATATAAAGATTGAGATCAATGAGCTCTTGATGTCAAGATCTATCACAAATTAAATGATTAATTTAACTGGCACACTTTACAAATGACTTTGTGCTTTTATCTCAAATGAAATAAACAAGCTCATCAGCACGCCGGATCATTCATTGGAAAGTTGCTGATGTGTTGAAATAGGGATCTGAAGGATTTATCAAACACACAGTTAAGAACCATAAAAAAAGCTATTTGTAGTATTTACAATATGCAAAAACAGAGAAACTGCGATGTTTGAAAAGTTTCTCTGATACAACATGCTTTCAAGTGTCTCACCAAAATCTATCATTTTTTGTCCACTTTCCCAAAACTTTTTTAGTCAATGGTTTCAATCCATGGTTATACTGTATATTGTAAGGTGGCAACACGTTTTCTGATGTCTTAATTGTGCACTTTGAACATGGTTCTACAATACAACTGTGTCCAAAAATGTTTGGACGAACCTGAGCTCTAGCATGCTGTTAGCTTTGTTGGTGAGTAGCAAAGTTAGCTTCAAGCCAACAAAGTCTGGTTTGTGAAAATGCAGAATTGATCGCTTAAGTGATTGATCGCTTAACTTTTAAACTTTTTAAAAACTTTTTGCATCTCCCCCACTTTGCCAAATCCAGTGTCCTAAATAGAAATAGATTTAATTGGCTCATATGAAAGCAGGAATAAGAAAATAAATTTAGGAGGGAGGGCATAAGTTTCTATGACTGCAGGACATCAAGCTGTTAATATATGAATAACAACATAATCAAGTATATCTTGTCTTTTAATTTCTTTTTGAGTCCATGCATTCAAAGATTCAAAAAGATGGAGGCTTTTTCTTATTGACGATTAAAATACCAAAACCAAAACATATCATTTCTATAAATTTTTTAAAAACCTGCAGTGTATTTTCCTTCTATCATAATGGTAAAAAAGCAAAGATGCTGTTATGGTTTTAAATGCATCAAGACAAATGTGTATCATATCTCTATAAATAGATATATTCATAGAGACATATTCCTTATTGACACAGCTTTGCGTACGTGCCTATAGCAATGCATGCACTCTGTGGTGGGTGTGGTTTCTACATCTGGCAATACTGCTCTTAAACATGTGATGGCAGCCCTGGTTCATGGTTCTGTGAAAAAGCATGACCTTTTTACTGACATAGTTCAGTCACAGTTTGCTCCTTTCCTCTGCGGTACATTGCAGCTGCAACAGCTCTGACTTCAAATTCCTAATCATAAAGCAACCTCACACATAGTGGGATGTGTGTGACTACTGTGAGTGAATTGAAAAAAAAAAAAGAAAAAGCTCCCACTTACCGAAGGTGAAGTAGCTGTTGAGATATTTTTGGTAACATTTACTGTTCATGTGTGATTCGTGTGCACTGTTTTGTGCGATTGTTTCCATGACAGGCGACTCTTGGGCCTTGAGCTGACAGCTGAGCCTGTCAGCTTCTGACTGATACATCCCATGTGGCAGACAGGACGAAAACCATCCAGATTAGTAAGCACCACAAGCCCACAGTGGGACGGGGATCTGGGACCTGTCAGTGTCTGAACTGGCTGTCATTTAGGCTACATTGTGCTCTGCCTCTCTTCTTGACACCAGCTACTGTCGTGTTTGGATTACCTGCTGTTGCCACAGCAGCAGATATGCTTCCTGCATGTAGGCTTTGTAGCCAGAAAAAAACATTGATCGCACCGAAAATGTAAAACATCAATGTTTTATTTCTAAAATGTAGAATCAGCTGTAAGTTTTTTTCAAATTTTCTCTGTAAACATTGCTAATGATAAGTGAATCATTTGCTGTATAAAAATGTATGCAGTTTTATCCTAGCTAGCTCTTTCTCTAAAAGCAGAAATGGCTGATTTTTGGGCACAGTTAAAATAAGACTTGTTTTTTTAAACTAATGTAACGCATCTTTTCAATTCAAATAAGATTACTTTATCAAATATATAATTGATCTATGTAGAAATTTTCCTGCATGTGCGCTTTAATGCCACATGGAGAGGAAAAAAAAAAAGAATTCTGTACCTCATTGGCTCCTTAGCAGAAGCCAACAAGGCACACACAACTTAAAAAATAACAACAATTGTTGTTAAGGAGGTTTTTGTATTATGGGAACAATATCCTGTCATCAAAACAGCTGAACTTCAAATGGCTTCAATTAGAAGAGGTCCCTCAACAGAAACTTTAAAAAAAGTTATGAAGTTGGTCCTAAAAATCAGAAACAAGAACCAGACTTAACTAAAACAAAAGGTAAAAGCAATGCAAAAGAAATTTAGATTATTGCTGCAGATTAAGAAACTATATGACATGTAGATGAAGTTCAGTATTTTAGATCAAGTAGGGCTGCTATTGCATTCAAACTGCATAAGAAATTGCAAATGGTATATTCATATAATCGGTGAAAGAAAGAGTCCTCCAGGGGATAGGGTTTTTAAATAAGAAACAGAAGTTACACAGATTTCATCATAAAGATGAAAATATTGGAATCTCGGTAGTCACCCAAAATTTGGTCTCAAGTTTGAACAAACTCCTTCAGCAGATTTTGATACATCACAATTAAACTTGCAAAGACCCCTGGTGATAAGAAATCATTAAAAAGTATGTTTTATAATTGCACAGACATTTTTACTGTCTAATAGTCTTAGATTAGATGTCATTAACACAAAAAAAGTTATTATAAAACACATCCAAAAGTCGTGAAATATACAATTTCATAAGTGCTGGGCTAGCTTTTTTTTTGGTGCAAAATATATATGAAAGAAACTCTCAGATACCTTTTCTTCTCCTTCCTAATTCTAATCCAATATCAAGACCTTCCTGTTTGCACCAGAAAAGCAGAAAACACTGAACTTATATAGGTTTACATGGCATTTTTGCATCCCTGTGTTGATTCAGAATCATTCAATCATTCAATTTCAATGATTTTAGTCACAATGTAACTTGTGACTGAAAGACTCAGACTGAATCAGTTCTAAATGACATGAAAACTAGATCTGTGTCACAGCAGTCGTTTTAAATGTTCATCCAATGTCTGAATAGATATGATGGTGATGAGAAATCCATGATGACATTTCTTTGTGTAACTGTATCTGAATTGTTCATGCACACGTCAAATCCATTCGGAAGTGGCTCACCTTCATCAGCATCATACTCAGTACCGGTCCATTCCTTCCCAGGCAAGCGCCATTCCACTCTGTATTTGATGATGGGCACTCCCCCCATGGAATCAGGCTCCTCAAATTCTATCTCAGCTGTGCTGGAGAAAGGTTCCACATTTTGGATTTCTGGTGCTGATGGAACCTCTGCAACAAAAGACAAAGAATAGAAAAATTAAAATTTTAAAAACAGAAAATGAAAATCCGCTTTGATAAAACATCATTTTTAAAGTAAAAAAGCAAAGTAAATAATCTGACAAGGTGAATAACATAAGATAGGACCAATGTACCACAACCTTACAAGATTTCTATCCAGAGACAAATATAATGAAAAACAGAAGGTCATTAAAAAAATGGCCACACAATAACACGTTTTTTCTTAATAGTTAGGGGGTTGGATCAACATAATCTTCAGAAAAGCTAAACTAAATATTTTATGCAGGAGTATATTATCTACATGACTTATGTTAGTTTTACTGAATAAAACAGCTCTTGCCGAAACAACATTATTAATATTACTATAAGCTTTTGAAAGCCAGTCTTTTAAGGAAGCAATTTAGTCTACAAAGCCATTGTTCTAAACAATAGACCATGTGAACTGAACTTTATACATGTTTATAGGTGTTTTCGATTAATTTGAGTTATTTTTTTCTTTTTTTGTAAAACATTTGTACTTGATAAATCTAATTCTGCTTCCAAACCAGGGGATGGCATTTATCACAGAAGCATTGGGTTCCTTTTTGAAGATAATGTTTTCACAGATGTCTACTGCAGAGGAAAACGGTTAAAATGTTATTTAAGTGGCTTTATGATTAAAGCAGCAGTCCATACGTATCATAAAAGATAACAGCTATTCCATGTCTTTACAAAGGCCAATGCACAAAGCCTTAAAACGTGGGTGGAAAAAGTTCATAGTGCCCTTAGCGTAAGGCTGTGGGACAGCTTATGTGGCTTAAACTTTCCATATGCTTTTAGCGTGGACAGGAATGCTTTTAGAGACATTACAGTCACCCAATGACCAAGTATCTAATAGGCATGACTGAATGAGTTTCCAGTGACAGTTTTAGCTCACATTGACGCACTTTGATTCATGATTAAAGGACAGAGTGACAGAACTAGAGCGCCACACAGAGTTTAAGTATTTTCTGTGGACAACTGTCATGCTGCTTTCAATCAATATTGGGGTTGTATGCTGATCCCTTCCCCAGTTTGTTTTGAGTTGGGAAACCTCTTTATTTCTTATCAATTTCTAATTACCACTTATCAGATCGCTAATAATACTCATGTTCACCAAAAGATAAGCTCTGTTAATTCAATTACTGTCATGTTGTTTAGTGAGAGAAATGCTGCACTCACACCTCTCTAGAGGTTATTAGAAAAGCTCTTCAGACACAAAATTATTTGCAGGTATTTTGCAACTGAAGGGATCAATGGAAATAATCAATCCATTTACAGATAAATATAAATCCATTAGACCCGCTCAATAGTACCATGGGTACAAAAATTCCACTAAAACCGTTGCTGGAGCTTTCTCAGGATAAATCTACGTTTCAGTGACTCTATACAATCAAAAAGAGATTAAAAAATTAGAAACTGTACCGAAATGATTTTCATCAGGCGGCATGTTACATTTTCTTTCTGACATATCTCAGGCAGTAAGATATGAACATAAGTTTACAGGGTTCTTTTTGAGTAAACTATTTGGATGGAGTCACAAATACTGATGCAGTACAGCTACAAAAAGAGCAACAAAATATCACCCAATTTGACAGCAAGGTATTATGGAAATCTAAGTGACCTATGAGTATCAATGACAATAACCAAATTGAGTGGGAAATAATGTGAACACCAACCAAATAAAAACAAAAAAAAAGCTTTTCTACTGTGATTTTTGGGGGATTTTTTATTTATGTATTTTTATACAATTTAATTTCATATCTGGCCAGTGCATGTTTCATCTTTAATTTGTCTTTCCACAGCTTTCTTGTTTGCAACCTTTTTTATAGACATGACAGCTTTAAGAAAATTCAATTAAATGACTCAAAGGAAATTCTACTCTGCAGTAACCGCTGTCAGACATGATCTGCATAGCAACCCATCCAAGGTATGTGGGATCAAGCCCAACATGGCCCTGAACTGGGATTCATGAATACAGAAAATGGATGGATGGATCAATGGACTTCTTTTTCAGTGAACAAACCTGCTTGGATGAGAAGGAACTCCTTAGATTCCGAGCCCATTTCATTACTTGCTGTGCAGTTGTAGCTTCCAAAGTCATTTTGAGATTCAGGTGTGATCTAGGTACAAAAGTAGAAAATAATGATGATCAGTGGACAAGCCAAGCTGTTAGTTATTGGTTTAATTAATTATACTATTCTAATGATGGTTCAACAGAATGTTTCAATTGGGGCTTGGCTTACATGTAGATGTACTTATCTCCAGGTGCTCCTTCCGACATATTGGTGTAATAGTTCTTTGTGACAGTTTCTATCATAGTAGTAATCTACCAAATGTTTTGCGTGATTAAAATGTTTCTGAAATTATTTACTGGAATTTCATTTCATCACTCAGGTCACTGTTTAATCTCTGTTATCTGGCTAGGTTAACCGGTATATGAATATGTTTTTACACAGATATTGTTCCATCTATTGCTCAAACAAAACAGATCTTGGAAATATTGCTAAAGAGTCTAATGTATGGTGCCTTCAATAAAGAATTAAAGACATTTAGATTTAGTTTTTGAAGCAAAAACCTGGTCTATACATGTTGACTGCAGCGTTTGTACTGAGCAGCAGACACAAGAATTGAACATATCCTGGAGAATTTCAAAGACTGTGTCATCTCGCCTTTTTGTGTCAGAACAAATCAGTACAAAAGCGGATGTTGCATCACCTCCAGGTAGCTGGTGGTAGTTGTGTTGTAGATCTTTATGTTGGTAGCGTTGGGACTCGGCAGCTGGAAGCCATCTCTGAACCAAACCACTGAGGCCCTGGGGTGAGCATCCAACTCGCAGCTGATGTTGGCTGGGTTTCCCTCCCACGTGTATGTCGTCACTCTACCCTGGATCTTTGGAGAATCTGAAGCAACCAACGGAGATTATGTTACCACGTAAGAATAGAGAAAATTATCAGCCAACTTTGAGCTGATTGATTTATATTTAGATCCTTATTCGATCAGCTGGGCATGGTAAATTGTTCAACACAACATTCTCATCTAAAACGGCTGTTCTGATATCCAGCAATTACTGTAGTCAAGAACACTGCTAAAATAATGTGGTGAACTTATAACTAAGTGATATTTAAGCCAAAAAAGCTTCCACCACTTACAAAAAACCCCATTTAAAATCCCCTTCGACATATTAGTATCAGTCGCTTGGCAGCGAATCCAGATACGCCCAGTTCAGCTAATGGGATCGTGCTGCCCTGAAGATAGCCAGTTCCATACTTGGATAACGTCTTTATTGTCCGAGATGTAGTTGAAAGGACTGGGATTGAGAGCTATGCTCGAGACAAAGCACCTTTTCTTATCGATAATTGCCTGGCAACGGCGAATCAGCCACCTGATTATTTGCTGATTACTCTGGCAAACTGGAAACCCCTCAAACAACTCCATCAACACTTCATCCTGATTATATCTCTGAGCAACTTTCAAGTACACTGAGAGCAGAGTTTATTAGTCGGATTACGCATTCGCTAGATTTACGTTGTGTTTTTTATAGATTGATTGATTTCAAATGGAGATTTGTGGCTCTACTACCTACTTCACTGAGTGCCACAGAGAAGCAAATGTGTTTCATTAAAAGCATTTCCTGTAACACCAAGTTCATAACACATTTGTTATAAAAAAGATGCATTACCAAAATATCCATAGCTCAAATCCAGCATGGTTGGATTTATTTTATCTACATCTCTCTCTAAAGCACATTACCCTTGTCTGAAAAAGTAGGACTTGTGCTTAAAAACAGTTCTTCTGAAGCTTAAAAAGCCACTGCATCCCTGAAGGTATGTCAGAACTCAGACCTTAGTTTCCATGGAAACAAATCACAGTGGTGATTTCCTGACCCAGGAAACCCTGCTCTCTGTTGTACCATTTATCCACAGAAACATAAGTGACTGTCCAGACACCTTGATGTTCTCATTACAGTTTTTTGACCTTTCAAAACATTTTCTTTTTGTTAGAATTTGAAAGCGGATGTCCTTTTTTTTCATTTTCATGATTTTATATCCAAACATGGAGTAACTAAAGCTTCAGAAACGTAATTAATGTGGCCTTTTCAAGTTTTAATACCTCACGTCTCATTACATAATACAGGGATCACATCTAAAATTAAATAGAAATCAGCTGACAGGAAAAAGTGGTGATATGTCTTCTAAACATAAAATTTGTATAATAGACATCTGCTCATACCTGCAGTGCTAATGTAAGTTAAATGTCTTTCCTTGAAAACAATATTTCAGAGTCAAAGTGGGAAAAAAGCATGCATATGCTTTGTTTTCCAGACAAAGATAAAATGCAATTTTTTTTCCAATTACCTGTAGGTTTCAAGACAAAAAATTAGGAGCAAGCATAGAGAGAGAGGAGTGACTTACAGCGGACTTCCAAATAAATGTGCTGGCTGTCCTGACCAATGGAGTTCCGGGCAGTGCAGAGATACTGGCCAGCATAAATGTACTGGACATTCTTCAGGATGAGGGAGGACACCCGTGCATGACTGCGTACCACCACATTCCTATCAAGGCTCTACAAAAAAAAGAAGAGAAAGTAATTATCATCTATCACTGGTACAACCTGGAATCAGCATGTGGAAAAAAAGAAGAAAAAAGAATTACTCCTTTCCAATGAAGTGCAAACTCCTACAAAGTGCTGATTAGTGTCCATACCATTTAGCACTACGGTTGCAGGTTTACAGGGAGTCTAATTGCTGCAAAGAGAGTAGGCCAGTAATTTCAATTGAGATAAATAACATGTTCAATCTTGCCTTTATTCTCATTAGCAAATTAAGTTTATTAGACTGTCGGCTTTGCTAAAACTGCAGTGTAGTCAATCCGACGGATCACCGAGCACATGTTAGTCCTTTCTCAGAAAAATCTCTGTGTACAGGGTTGGTGCGGACAAGTAAGAGCATCCAAACATCCCCATTCATTTTTTAAGCAATGCAATGCAAAACTAGTTTTACCTTTAGTGGACAGCCCCAATTTAAAGAAAGTTGTGACTGTGTAAACTTTAGATGAAAATGGAATCCAGGGACATGCTAACCTCATCACAATTGAATATAGAAAACACATCAAACTGTGGAAGTGAGACATATTTATTTATGAAAAACGTTGGCTTATCTCTTATTTGATGGCAGCGACAAGTCTCATAAAAGTCTGGACGCAGCTGTGTTTACCCCTTTATAACAGGGTTTGTTCATTTTTTACTCTTTTGTTGGTAACAAGGATAAACATTTAAATGGAAATTGGGATGATAAATGTTCAAATGTTTCTGCAGCTATGATTGATTTTCATAGGAAATATATTGGGAAACAGAAATCAAATATATACTCAGTCTTTCTGCAAGCTTTTGGATGTTGAAAGGAAGGTTTCTTGTAATTAGTGTATTCTAATAAAGCCATAGGAAATAAGAATCAATATAATGACAACTCTAGCTGCTATAAATACACAAAGAGCTTTTCTTCCTTCTAGGTAACACAATTTAAATCAAGAGGGGAGGTACATTTTCCTAAAGGCTGCCATTTAGACATTTTCTGTGCATCACAGTTTATTGGGAATTAGAAGAAAAAAGTCCTAGCTGTTGTATTAGCACTATTTTAGAAATTGATATTCTTTATAAAGCAGAGCAATGCAGTGTGGTAGAGATCATTTTTAGCTGTTTAGTGAAGATCTCAGGGAGTATGCTGGAGCATTTTGAAAGGGCAGCATTAATCTTGTCTTACTGCAGTTGCACAGCAAAGAGCTGGAGTGGGCACAAAGTTAAGATGCCAATAGGGATAGACTGATGAAGAATAATCCTTTAATGGTACCACAGACACACAACTGAAAAGACAGACCTTTGAAAAAACATTTATACAGTAACTGAAATTATTTATGTTACAGCATCAAAGCGATTTTAATACTGAACCTAAAAGAGAAAGGAAGGAAGCGCTTTATCACTTTCTGTTGTTAGTGTGGTACACTATTACATAACTTGTTCATACATATTACACCATAAATACTTAAAGGCATCAAGTCAAAGGTCAAATTCACTTTAATGTTTTGAAGATTAATTAATCAATCAGGCTTAAGAAATAATTCATCAATACTTAACTAATTAAAATTAATTTAAGGGCCTATTTCCATGTACAGTGGGTGCCTTGGGTCTCCTTGTTGAGGCCAATAATACTTAATTAAAATGTATTAGCGCAAACGCTGTGAGATTGTTATTCAAATATTAAGGAGGTCATTTAAACTTAACTCCTAACAGTAAGGCTGTTTTGAGTAAGCGGAACACACATGAACAGTTAACATTATTGTTTAATCCAAGAGTTTAAGACAGTGGGTAATAACTTGAAATTAAAGTATGTAGCTCACTATTTTTTTGTTTCTTCCATTCCAATTTTTCGCTCTCAAGTCTGTACTCTATTAAATTAATTATTTACTAATGAAATAATCAAGCACTTTAAAAGAAACTCTTACCTGTGGACAGCATTTGTTAAACCTTTCAAAAATTACAGCACAAAAATGAATTCCAAATGTCAGGTGGAGCACAACTGAAGACCAAAGCCCCTCCTCCTTACTTCAAATGGCTGAATAACCATTATTTAGCCATTCTATTAAAAAATAATTACCTTTATCACCTTTCCTTTGACATATGGGTGGCTCAAAGAGAGAAAAAAGTGGACTTTCAAGTATTACTTCTATTACTTATGCCTGGTGGTAGTATTCAATCAAATAGCCAATGAATAAAAGCATGTGTTAAATAAAAAATGTCATATGATCTTTTCATATTTTTGATCAGGGTTGGTGAAAAGTCCTACTCTGAAAAAGCTACCAGAGAAATTCCACACTCAGGTGATCATGATCTGATTGTGCGCCTGTATCGTCACACATTTCTAAGCTGGGTCTCCAGATGTTTTGAACACCCTAATGCGTTTAATGAGATATTTGCTAATGTTACTGACCATAAAGTACGGGTGCTAATCGTACCAATCACAAACACTGTTCAGTCCGAATCACATCAAAGCGTATCAAATAACTAGTGATTTTTCTAATCAGTTGAGTACTAAAAGAATAGAAGTAGAGCTGGGATGCAGTATCATACTAACTGAAATATCCATAGAACCACAACTTAAATTGACAAAAAAAATTCAAGTTTTCTAAATGTTTCTTTTCACACCTTTTTTTCTTTAAAATATCAGAACAAAGTAGACAAAGTAACAACAGTCCACTTCCTAAATTGTAAGAAAGTAAGGAAACCTGAAAGGAAAACATCATTATGACATATTGAAAGAGAAAAAGAAACATTTTTTAAAATTTCAGAGTCAAGGATATGTTTTTCTTTTGTGACTATGAAGTTATGCTGAAAGAAATGGGAAATGTGGCGCAGTTTCAAAGTAACGATCACATTAGGTGGACTGTAGAAAAACGGTCCACCTCCAGAAAAACTGAAAATCCAGTGAACTGTTAAACAAGGTGACACGATAATGGTCACATACTGGGATAACGCTGTGGTAATACTGACTGGCGTGACAGGATAATTGAAATAACCTTCAGAAAATTATGCAAGCAGTGATTCAAAGCCCAGAGGGCTTCTGGAATAATCAAACCTAGACAGAAAGAAAGTGAACATTTTTTAAAGCGCAAACTTTAAGGCTGGACGTCATGAAGCTGGATCTGTACTTTCACAGTTATGCTGAGTAAGGAAAATGAATCCGCAGTGCCACCATATAGCATTTATGTGTGTTACAATGTAATAAAGGAAGTTAGCTTGTTAGAGTGTCAGTTGTATTAAAAGGTAGCTATTTAATGAAGGGCCATGAGAATGCATGTCTCTCTTCCATCCAGATAATATTTTTTAATTCTTCCTCACTATGTACTTTTGTTGTAGTTCCTAAAAAATACTTAAAAATCTCCAAACTTTAAGAAGATGTTCATAAACCATTTGTCCATGACAAAACTCCATCTATCTCCAATGTAATGGGTTTTGGATGCAGCTATTATGAAAGAAATATTTCAGTGTCTGGATAATCAAAATCAAAAGTACACCAGAACCTCTGGAGACAGCTGAGAAAACATTTTTGCCATCTGGTTGGAACTGACCCAGAAAGACGGCAGCACAAATGAGGCCCCAGGTGACCGAATAAGTCAGCTCCTCTAGTGTGGCTGAAGAATACATGCAGACCCCTGGCCCACGGCAGCAGGATGCACCATTTAAAACCAGCGTGTTAAGATGTACATGGGTTGGATCCATGGCTTTCTCACAACAGAGCAGACAGTGTTTCTGTGTGACACTGCGGAGTTGCTGATCTACAAGCAACACGGGTGCAGTAGACTTTTTTTCCCCTTTTTATTTTACATCTGAGACAGTAACCAGACCATGCCAAAGGAAATAATAACATGGCCATAAAATGGAATGACTTTTGGACACTGTGACTATGTCTGTGTCTCAAGATGAAATTTGTTGACAAAAATAAACAGGGACAAGTAAATAGGCCAAGTCTAAATGTGTACTGGAACTAAGTGGATTAAATTAACTGTACTACGTGTCTAATGGCCTACACATTTAGGGCACAACTAATATGTAGAATGTGGTAAACGTGGGCTAAACTACAACACTTCTGCTCTGCAAAACAAAGGGATAAAGGGGAAAGTCTAAGGTGTAAGTTTGGTCTATTAAAACTAGAGTCAGGCTACAAAATATACTAGCGATACCTCATATTTGTCTGGTCGCGTCCAAGAAGCCTAGAGAGGACAAAAACACAGAGGAAGCAAAGAAAAACATTGATACAGTGGAGCAAAATAGAATTATGGAAAAGGTTTGTGTACCCAGTTCACCTGCAGATGTCCGATCAGGTAATGACTGACAGACCACAGCAACAATTTTGAATAATATCACTCATTATACAGGACATATTGAAAGTGTGCTTTTTGCTTCACTGAAGTTTTGTCATTGAAATATCAAATAGTCTTAATGACTGACAGACCACAGAAACAATTTTGTTTAATACAACTCATTATAATTGATGTAGTTACTATACATGACATATTTAAAGTGTTCTTTTTGTTTTATTGAGGTTTTGTTATTCAAATATCAAATAGTCTAAATTTGTTGTTTAAAAAAAACACTAAGTGATTTGAGTCTTTCATAAATACTGCTCATGCTATTGTACTGTATTTGGTACTGTTACCACTACCCACAGCTTGTCTAAAATATAGATGTTGTTGGCTACTCAGAAAAGTATCTCTTTAAAGTAATGCTGTAGGCATCTGAATTTTCTTAGATTCTTAGATTTTCTTAGAAAATCTTAATTTATCACATGAACAACTAAATTAAAAAACTATAAAAACATGTAATCAAGATGCCATTGGATGGATCTATGCTCAATGTGCTGATATTAATCAAAATTATGTGAGTGGATACATTAGAAAGGCTTTCAAATTCAAGTCTTGCTTTTAAGGTATCGTAAATTAACTATTAGCTAAACTCTCATCTCCAATTCTGATCAAATATATCAATAAAAAAAGAAAAAAACAATTTAATACGAACAAACTATGAAAACAAAACTATTAGTTTTATATTCATTTTTTTTATTTGCTAAAACACCATTTATTGAGCGTGACCGCAAACTGGCAGTTCCCTAAAAAACAGAAGAAATCCTAATAAAAAACCACAGGGATTTACTTAAACCTTGGATGAGACTGAAGATTTCCCTGCCAAACTGTATTTATTACAAATATGATTAATTCTGCAATGAATAAATCACAGCACTATGTAAGATATTTAAAAATGTAGCGGAACCAACCTGAATATCTGGCATCATTAAGTTTTTGCTTTTATAATGTTTGGGCAAGATCAGGGTTGTTTTTTTTGGCAGTTCAGCTGCAATCAGGGAACTACCAGAACTGGTCAAAATGCCAATCTAAAGTGTATTCTCCTGAAGCAGTATGGTGCCGTCTTAATTAGTAACTAAATAATGCGCTACAATAAAAGAAAATTTGGAGGCTGACTGAAGAAAACAAAGTATTTGAGCTAATTATAGGTGAACCACCAAGGGACTATTTTTTTCCTAATCACCTCCCCTTTTTCAGTCACATGTTGTACTCTATTTTTATTCAGTCTCGTATTCAAGTGCAACCAGCACTGTTTTCTATCTTAAATCCTGCACTTTAAACAACAACATACACAATCAAATTCATACTGTCAGAGTGAAAATGGCACAGCACTCAACAAAACTGACATCTCAAGCTAGAGGCTACATTCTGTTTTCGATGTACTCTATTTTTATTCAGTTTGACTTTCAAGTCTAAGCAGCGCTGGTTTCCATCACCAATCCCGCATTCAAAACAACAACATACACAATCAAATTTATATTGTCAAAGCATAGCACTGTAAAAACCTTAAAACAAATTCCAATCATTAGTAATGACAAAGATACCATAAAGTAAACCCTTTTTCTTTAAAAAGGTAATTAAAAATTAAGCCGCAGTTGCAGTTGTGCTATATTACTACCCTATCATTTTTCATCCTCAGGGATATTGCTGATAGGCATAAAGAGTGTCACAAATAGAAAAAAAATGACTGAAAATGCATGGAAATTAGGGAGCCGTTACCAAATAATCAGTAAGACCTTCTGAGTAGAGTAACAAAGATATCTGACGTTGCTGTCCTCAGACAGATTGGAAATAGCTGGATTATGACACTCGCTGAAAGGAGGTTCATTTGTTAACAACTGAAGGGTGATGGACAAGGCACTGTCCATCATGCAGGTGGAAGATAAAAAAGAAACTAGCTACGCAGCCATCCATGCTTCCACTCAACGGCACAGATAAATTCCACAGTTAATATATGAGGATATTGCAGTATATTCAAATACACTAATTCTCTTTTTACCTTATAATTCAGCACAAACATGAAAGGTTAAAGGCTCATATTCAGAACAAAGTCCCTTGTAAATGCAAAATCTACTCATATTGATGCCTTAAAACACGCTATTAAGGATAATAATGTAATATCATTACTTGGCCAAGAAACAGAATAGTTCATTTCTCTAACTTACATTGTTAAATCTGCACAACATGGCACCTTCGAGTCCTATACAATAGACCAGCTGACAAAGCATGCAAGGTAAATTAGGCTAGACCCAAATATCTTGCAACCAAGTCATTTTGTTTCCTTTGGGACAGCACAGGTGCTTTCAGTGTATTTACGTCATTACAGTGTTCTTATATTTCTAAGCATGTATAATTTCTAGGATAAGCAAAATAACTCTGCAGTAAGGACTGCGAGTGACCCTAAGGGACCTCTTATTCTGCTGATTGTATGTGATGATAATGGACTTAAAAACGGAAAATTGTTGTTCGGCAAAACTACACAGTAAAAAAGTAAAGTGTAACAAAGACTTTGGATTTTTGGAATACCAACACATGTTCTTACTGCCTTTTAGCAAATTCCGAAGCCAGCTATCAGTTGTCGACAAGAGTCATTCTAAACCTTTGACGTCAGTGAAGGAAAATTTTATTGCTTGTAGATTTTATAGCAATGTGTGTCATCAGGTATATAAACTGAAATACAAATCAGTGTTATTCTCAAATCCACAAACCTGCTCAAAGCGGCATGGTAATTATCTTAATAATGTTTATTGCAATCACAGCAGAAAATTACCTCTTGTAAGTGACTAATCTGTCCGCTGTTCACATAATGAATGTTGTCAGAAGAGACCACTCAGATCATTTTTTTGCCCGAATAATGCTCTTTCTATTAATTGATAAAAGCTTTACAGAATACTTGGGATGGGATTCTCCTGTCAGGATGGACTCTTCAAGTATGACCAGTGTATTGGAGTGTATTGGAGAGAATGGGATCAATATATGTGTTTATTCTTTCATATGCAAACTTATATAAAATACTGTATTCTGAACATGCACACTTAAAATTCCCTATTTTGTGACTACATTTATTCTATTTTAAATGTATGCAGTTCCTATTACTTGCGTGCATTTTTTTAAACTTTTGGGCTTTAAGGGAAGTTCCAAACTGTGGGACTAATAAAGGGCAATTGTATTTATTCCATTCCACTCTACTCAATTAACATGAAAAGAAAAATTAGGGTTATAACTAAAAATAAAGATAACCATGATTTTGTTTCATTGCCCATGTCACACTAATCTTCCCCAAAAAATAAGCCATTACTAAAATGGGTTGTTATTAGAGAGAGTTTACAGCAGTAAAGCAATAATTAGGGTAAATGTCACTGAAATGATTTCTTTCAGTGACTTTTTTAATGCATTTTCAATGAGCACTTTTATCAGAAATTTAACAAAAGTGAGTCCTTTAAACCTACAATCAATACTAAATCAATTAGTCTTATTTTTTACAACAGTGGCATGCCGCTGCCTGAGAACTGGCGCACATTTACGTGAAAACGCAAAAAAAATTAGGTTGTTCCAAAGAAGACTGTGACAGGTTAACAGGCATGACTATTTGAAGATCCAGCTGACGAAAGGAACCTAGATTAAGACGATTATTTCTTTAAGATGTAGCAAACACAAGATGATTTTTGAAAAACAAAAAGTCTAGCCAAGTGTTTGTTTGTGATCTGAGGTGGAAGTACAGTTAACCTGAGTACAGCTACATGGTGATGTAAGCACTATCATCTCACAGCAAGATGATTCCAAGTCCTACCTGGGGGCGTTTTGAGTGAAGCTTACATCTTTTCACCGTGTATGCGTGGGTTTTCTACCACCTTCCTCCCACCATGCATTTCAGGTTAATTTGTTACTCCAAACTGATCTAATGAGTGTGTGTGTGCATGGTAGACTGTCTTCTATGTCTCTTGTTGGCCCTGATTTGGACTAACCCCTGTAAGGTGTACCTTCCCAATAACAGCTGTTATAGTCTGAGGCTTACCCTGTGAATAAGCAGGTGCTGGATGGATGGATGAAGGTATTTTAAGGCTAAATTGGGGTTGAAAGTCACTGGTTCTGTGATTGAATTATTCTGATGTGATGAAACGGTATTTCATAGAGTGACGTTTCAATAAAAAAAGAATTAGAAACAAATTTGGCCGGGAACATGTGCAATGTGCAGATCTTTTGAATTTGATGGCACATCTTAATAGAGTGCGGGGGGATTCTATTATTTTTTACGAAGACCAAAATAACCCAGATATTCAGCAAAAACTTTGTTAATGAAAAAAAAAGAAAGAAAAAAGATTCAATATCCCTCTCTGTAGTGCATTAATAACAGGCACTGATTTGCTTTAAAGGACCTATTTTTCAATTATAAAATTCTGTATAAGTCTTCTATCAGTGGAAGGTCTTTGTTGGACGATTGTATTCAAATAACGAGATAAAGCTTAAAAAGGAAGCTGTACCTGCTCTCCTTCACTGAAGACTCTGTTGCCAAAGCTCCAGGAGATGGTGGGCGTGGGGTCACCCATGGCCTCACAGACCATGGTGACTTGCTCGTCAAACTCTGATGCAGTCTGGTTGTTAAAGAAGGTAATCTTTGGTTGCACTAAAAAGACAGTGAAATGCATTTTTAAAAACATGTTCTAAATATATATATATATATATATATATATGTATATCAACGCTTATCAGGTTACACCAAACATCCTCAAAACAGTGCAAAACTTCCTAAAATTTGTTGTCAACATGTCAGATACAGTGATAAGGCTAAAATTCCAATTTTTATTAGGTTTACCCAGGAAA